CCTCCCAGGCCCTCCCGGGGGCTTGGACACCATCTGATCAGGCGAACATTGTCACCATTACTTTTTTTTTTTTTTGTAATCAATCATACATGGAAAAAGACTTTTGATTCTTTTTCATGAAACTTGAAACTGATATCATCCCCTATTATCTGTTTTCTGCATGATGGCCTTTCTGCCTGAAATCTACTTGAAAAGCCAGAAAGAAACTAGAGGACGCATAAGGCTTACTTTAAGAGACTTTCTTCTGTCTTATTTCTGATACTTTCTGTTAGTGAAACTTCTTTTAGCCTGATCCTGAATTTTTTTTCTTTTTATTAATTCACAATTGGGTCAGGCAGAGCTTGGTAACTGGCACTGTGATTTTAGCCAATGAAATAAACCAACGCGTAGCTATCAAAGCACCTTCAATAGCGCTACCAAACATAGTTCTCGAGTGCGCCGACCCTCACCTCTAAGAGCTTCAAACAGTTGGTGATTTCTTTCTTCAGATTTTCTTCTGCCAAGTCACGCGACCTCTCTTCAAGTTTCACTCTTTTCTCCAGTGTAAACCAGTCACACTTAAATCCCAAAGATAATCTGAGAAATTCGGCCTGTTGTCAAAATAACAGGAAGGTGAGGAGAGAAACCTGGATGCGATCGAACACTTCATTTTAGCACAGGATTAGACCAAGTCTTTTTTTTTTTCTCCTCCCAGCCACACAGAGCCAAGCTAAACATACAAACATGTGTGCAAACGTGTGAGGGGACTGTAGCAGGTGAGTCTGACACCTTGTCTTTAAAAAAAAGAAAAAAGAAAACATCTGCTTCCCACTCACCTCCACCTCTCTTTCATTAGCAGAAGTGCTGTGGGACAAGACAAAGAATTTATTTAAACACAATTCGACAGAAAAACAGAGCGTGTGAAGTAGCAACATGAAAAAGAGCTTACTTGTCACTTGGTCTAAAGTTAACCGATTTCCCAGTGGTTACCGGAGGAGGGGAAACCTCGGTTTCTATTAAAAGATAATGAAATATTGGTTAAAAAGGCCTGACACCCTCTGCTTCCGGCCCACCATGACATGAACCACTGAGCTGTCCTGCCTCAGCACACAAGAGCCCAAGGCAACAGAGCCCAGGGACCACGGAAGGAGCCTCACTGTGGTGGTGAATGAATGGTTGGCTGGAGGGGCGCGCCCGGCTGAAAGGAGTTTGCTTGGTTCGGGGGAAGGCACAACAAGAGAAGAACAGGGGGGATTTTATGTTGATGTCCCCTCCCCCCAACAAGCTTTGGCTGTTCTCCTAGAGCTCTGGACTTTGGGTCTTTACTCAGGACAGCTGTTGCTCCCTTGGCAGGAGTTTGGGTCCTCTCCCTTCCCTTGGGCATCCTCTACTGGCCCTCGGGTACCAGCCCTTTCACATATCCAGGCAGAACCCTGTCTCACATCATTGCCATGGGGTCCAGCTCTCGGCTCAATCGAGAGTTGACCTCCTGCGCTCTTCTACATCTTCCTCCAGAGAGCACTGCCTAATGCACTCTGCACCCGTGTTGTGAGTTCCTGCTAGCAAGAGTGCTTCCATCGTGTCTCACACAGGGCCAGGAGGGATGAAGGGGGCTGGTGGGACCTAGTCTTCAGGTTTTATGATGCCTATGGCATATTAGCAAGAGGTAAAATTCAACCCAAAGATGCCAAACAGTCAGAGTAAGGTGGCTGTTTTGCTTATTTTGAAATAGTAGCATTAAAGGAAGTTTATGTTTAAGACAAAAGGCTTAACATTGGAAAGCACATTTTGATCAAATTGCTATCACGACTTTCCTTTATTAACAAAGTTGTTGCATTCAAATACATCTAAGATAATAGCTAATGTGTCTACTTCAACTATAATGTGATATTATGCTAAGCTATTGATATTATGCTAAGCTATTGGGATCATAACATTAAAACTATGGAGTCCGGATGGTCTCTGAAACCTAAAGCTTAATGAGAATCAAGGGACAGCCCGATTGGTCCTCTTTGTATTTGCATGTTTGTTATAAGAGATCCCAAGACTAAATGTATGCCTTCCTTTGTTGCCTGACCCTTGTTGGACTGAGACTCTAACAGCGGCAGCATGAGTAACAGTTGTAGTAACCGTGTTTCTATTCAAAGACAATGAAACTTTGGTTTAAAAGGCTTAACACCCTCTGCTTCCAGCCCACCATGACATGAGCCACTAGTGGTTATGGTAATAATACTGGTAGCAAATGACAGCAACAAGAAACACAGCATCAAGCACGGGCCTATATCAGAACAAAACCCTTTACACATAATATAACTTTCTTTATCACACCTTTGGAAAGCACAACCTATATTAAGAGCACTGATTTAAAGTTGACAGCATTTGATTGTGATTTTTTGTTAAATTTTAATTTTTATTAGTACATGTTTAGAATACATAATAACTACATTCATTGTGCGGAACTGGTACATATACAGAACACATCTCAATTATTTTTCCCTTTACCCTTCATCCTCTTTTCAAAGGTAATTTCTAGCAGCATCAGATTTCATTTCTTTATCAAATTAATAGTCATAAATATAGACTAATAACCAGACTGCCAGGTCCCAAATCGGAAAACACATAAGACAATTATACTAAATCACAGTATACATCCAGATACCTGGCTTTGCTGGATTACAGTAATTCTTTTTACACTCTTTTTTCCTATTGTCTGTCCTTTATTTTGTAATTTATTTCTACACCGGGTTTCTCAGACAAAAGAAACCATGCAATATTTAAGGCTGCATATCTGATTTCGTTTGACATGATGGTCTCAAGATGTGCCCATTTTCCTAGAGATGACTCAGGTTAATCTTTATTTCTGGCACATCAGTACTCTGCTGAATAAATACCATATTTTTTTCTATTCATCTATTGATGGATGTAAAGGCCACTTCCAAGATTTGACTATTATGAGCTGCTATAAACATGGGTTGCATGTATCACTATAATATGATTTTGACTCTTCCAGGAAAATACCGAGATGGGAAATAGCTGGGTGACATGAGATTTTTAGTCTTAGTTTATGTTAGGCTTCTCCATATTAATTTCCAGAGTGGTTGTATCAGTTTATATTCCCACCAACAAAGAAGAAGAGGCTCTTTTCCCTTCTCAGCCTCTCCAGCATTTGTTATGGCTCAACTGCTTGTTGATGGCTATTCTTTTCAAAGCAGGATGGACCCTCGGAGTTGTTTCAATTTACATTTCTCAAATAGCCAATGGTGCTGAACTTTTCTTTTCATGTATTTATTGGCCATTTATACTTCATCTGGGTCTTTAAATTTAGGGTTCTAATTTTGTTTTTATTTTAGGGAAGGGTCTGCAAGGTGTTCAGGCTCTCTCTACTAGATCAGACTTGTAGTGATACACCTGTTTACAGCCTCCCAAGAGCTGGGATTACAGGTGCACGCCACCATGCCCAGTCTCGATTTCTGTCTCAGCGCTTCCTGGAGGCAGGGCCGGCATGGCAGGCCCAGGGATTATACCCTTGGCCCCTGCACCTGCTTGCAGGTGCTTTAATCTGCTGAGCCATTTGGTGGGCCCCTAAAATTTGAGAAGGACTTTTTTTTTTGGGCTACTTCAGAGTGCCTTAAGGGAAGGTCTGGTACAGCTTCTGGAGCTGGTAATTGAACTACAGTCCTATGTGCCTGACTGCATTTGCCCAAGCGGCACTTCAACAAACTGAGCTATCCAGCAAAGCCCCTAAATTTTTTTTTTTTTAGTTCTTCATATATTTGAGATATTAGTCCTTTGTGAAGTAATTGTCAAGTTTTTTCCCCACTCACTAGACTGTCTTTTCACTCTGTTAGTGGTTTTATTTGCTCTACACAAGCCTTTTGAGTTGATATAATTCCATTTGTTGATTCTTCATACTATTTCTTACACAGCTTAATATGTTGGCTGGACAACACTTGATTTAAACCTGAGCTTTGACTTTTCTTTTTGCTTTGAGACAGGGTCTCACTATGTAGTTCTCTGGAGTTCTGTTCAGAAAGTCTGCATATGCCTATGTCTTTGAGAATTTTACCTAATTTGTCTTCCAGAAAATTGTTTGTTTTAATATTTAGATCTTTGAACTACTTTGATTTTAGTTTAGTGAATAGTGAGAGATATGGGTCTAGGTTCACTCTTCAGTGTGTAGATAAGAGTCTTCCCAGTACCATGTTTGGAAACTATTATTCCACCAGCAAAGGGATTTGGTCCCTTTCTCAAGATAAGGTAGCGGACTGTGTCTGCTGTTATTTCTGCCTCCTCCATTCCGTTCTACTTCAAGTCTGACTTTTTGCCAATACCATACTGTTTTATCACTGTAGCTTTGTAGTGTAATTTGAAGTTTGAGATGGTGATGTCTCTTGCCTTGCTCTTTTTGCCCAGAATTGCTTTTGCTATTCTAGGTCTCTTCTGGCTTTGTATGAGTTTTGGATGGCTTTTTCTACTTGTGAGGAATGCTATTGGTATTTCGATTGGGGGTTGCATTAAGTCTGTGTAACAGTTTTGGAAGTATGGCCCTTTTAACTATATTGGTTCTGCCTATTTGGGAAACAGGGAATAACTTTCCATTTTCAGATATCCTCTTCACTCTTCTTTTTCAGAGTACTATAATTTTTATTGTAAAGTTCTTTTACTTCCTTGATTAGGTTAATTATTAAGTATTTCATTTTTCTTGATGCTATTGTCAAAAGTACTGTTTCTCTAATTTCTCTCTTGGAGTTTGTTATTGTTGTATAGAAATGCTACTGATTATTTAGTATTGACTTGGTATACTTCTAAGATCCTAAATTTGGTTATTAACTCCAGGAGTTTTTTTGGTGGAGTTCTTGGGGTCTTCTATGTAAACTATCATGTCATCCATGCATAATAATTCAACTTCTTTCTTTCCTATCCTTTTATTTCTCTTGGCCAATTTTTTGGTTGTATTTCAGGAAGTAGATTGAACAGTGGTGGTGATAGATATCCTTGTCTTGGTTCGGATTTTAGAGGGGAAGCATACAGCATTCTCCATTTAGTAAGATGTTGGCTGGGCAACACGTGACTTAAACCTGAGCTTTCACTTCTATTTTTATTTTGAGACAGGGTCTCACTATGTAGTTCTCAATCTGCCTTGAACTTTCTATGTCAACCAGGCTGGCCTCAAACTCGCAGTGATCTTCCTGCCTCAACCTCTTGAGTTCTGGGGTTACAGGCATGCACCCCAATACCTGGCTTCAGCTTTGACTCTTACAGATAAGTTATCTTCAAACAGTCACACTCTCCTCAAGCCATCTATGAGGGTATTACTTTATATCATACCTAACTTTCTTGAGAACCTCTGTGCCAGGAAATCTCCTATGTAAATGTTTCACATGTATTAATTGATTCCATCCTCACAGCAAATCTTCTGTGCTAGATACTGTTACCATCTTTCTACCTTTCTGGGCTAGGAAATTGGGTCACAAGTTCCTCACTTTCCACACACGTCTGGAGAATTGAACAAAACTACATGCATACAAAACTGAGCCTAGTACTCAGTACGAAGTATGTTATAGCACATGTATTTTTTCCTTCATCATTTCTATTTTGCAAATGAGAAAACTGAAACTGAGGTTAAATAACTTTCTAAGATCATATAGCTGGTAACAGACTGACCCAGCCTAGAGTTCATGTAACTCAAAAGCTTGCACTCTCTACTCTTCCATCCTAATGAAGACAGGCTGTGGAGAAAAGCCCGACAGCTCTTACTCTGTAAATCCTAGCTCATTTACTCTTAGATATGATACTGAAGAAGAAGTAAGAATGTAGGGCATGGAATTTACTGCCAACATTTGCTCAGTTCTGAGTTCACAAGGGAGCACTAGCTATTATCATGAGCCAGTCAAGATCAAAGAACCAACATGGTGTTAAAGTGACTTTTTAAAATGATACAAGTGGAACCACGACTGAATCCAATTGGATGATTTTCTACAAAGGCTCCAGATTGTGCAAGTGACATAGCTTTGCTCATGAGGGTCACACCTAAAAAGCATCAGCAAGGAACAAAAATTCACATGAGACTATATTGGAATATATTGCTGAATTCGTGCACCTACAATATTTAAATGGCAATGGAATACCCATCTCTGACAACACTAAACAAAAAAGGGGGATATAAATGAAGGACCACTTATATCTGTATATTCAAAATAGGATAGATATACAGCTACCTTCTCTTAATTCAATGACAAGAAAGATTTTTACTAATAGTATTTGGACAGGATATCATGTCTGCATCTTGTACTATGAATAACTACTACAAAGACAACAATATGCAATGTATTAATTATTCAAACAGTCCTGCTAACCTGTTTTGAAACTGTCTCATTGCTATTTGTTTCTCAACAAAATTATTTTTTTAAAAAAGTCACATGAGGTGGAAAGCAAACATCTCTTACCTCCTGCAGCGCATTCTTTTCTATGTTTTTCTATTGTTTTGGGCTCTTCCTTGCCTTCCTAAAATCATAAGGCAATGTTATTGCTACCCACAGAGAAGAAATCCTTTATAAAAACTTCACAACTCCCTGTCCTCTCTGAACTTGTTTTGTATAAGGCATGCTGTAGTACTCAGGGAACTGTAATAGGAGTTAAGGGGTAGAAAGGACCTTCCAACCTAGTTAATGCAAAAAGAACATAATGGTATGAAAAGTTGCAAATGTAAAACAAGTTACACAAAGCGAACTAGCATTGGTTGCCAAATGAATGAGACATAGATAAATAAACATTCTGAATAGAAAGAAGAGAGACACCAGGGTTTAAGTAGCATGGAAATTCTCTGCAGGGGCCGCAGGGCTGGATGTTGGAAGAGGTGACATTGGGGTGATCCAGACCCACCTTCTCCTGTGGGTGCTGGGGAAAGTTGTGGAAAAGATAGCTGCTAAGATGGTGTTGTGTGAGGCTTTACTTCCTCCTGAATTTATTTTAAGGTCTTATGACAAATGCATCTGCATAAGTGGAATCATCGTACACACAGGATTGTAGTACACTACCCAAGAAAGACTGACTGGGAAAATTTTACAGATATCATAATTTCATGATATTATTAAATATTCACACATGAATAGAGATATTTAGAAGACCAAAAAAATTTCCATTAAAAAGTAAGTGTGGGCCAGGGAGATGGCTCAGTAGAATAAGTGCTTCCCTGGCAAGCGCAAGGGTCTGAGTTCAATCCCCAGTTCCACCAAAAAATAAAAAATAAAAAAAAAATTTTTAAAAAGTAAGTGTAAGGCAATATATCAGGGATATATCCTTGGCAGAGTCATGGGTTACATGTCCTATAATTTTTAGCCAACCGAGATAAAAGTTTCAATACAATGTAACAAATATTATGGGTAAAACACTGACTCGTTCTCACCACTGTGCAAATACTCCTAAATTTGTTGAACCCTCCTTCCATCTCATGACTTTTCCTAGTGGCCAGCTCTTTCCCTTCCAGATGGCTACCTCAGCCCTTTCTCCATATGCTCAGCCCCAGCCTCCTCTGACAGAAGCTCTTTGTCACAAGTCCATGAACCTTTGCTCCTTCCTGCCTTAAGTCCCTGGGAAATCTCACCCCCACTCTTGGTGTCTGTATTTGTTGTTGTCTTGTTTGTGCTGATAACTCACAAACACTGTCTGCTCCTAAAATTCAGCCGGATGAGTTGTGCATACGGAAACACAGCTGCACAGAAAACCTTGGGGACTCCTGGTGTCTCTATCAACCTAAAGCTTGACTTTTCTCAAATTGATCTTCTTTTGCCTCAAATTCCACCCTTCCTCTCATGTTGCTCTATTTATTCCTACGGCTAGACCCTGAGCCTGAGAAATACCATTTGCCACACTGATATAAACTCTATTCCCTAAATATATCACAGATCGGTCGCCCTTTCTGCAGCCTTACTAAGCTCCAGCTGCCTTCTTCTCCCATTGGAATCATTACAATCATATCCCATCCAGTCCTACAACCTCAATTGCTATGCTTTTCTAATCCATTATTTCTTTTTTTTTTCTAATCCATTATTTCTTAAAGTGATTTTATGTGTTTTTGTTTTAGATTAGAAGAATTTTTTTTTCTCAATAGATTCTACCATGAGAAATGAAAGCAGGTGACTTCCCCTCTGTCCAGTTGTCACACAGGGGACCTATTTTGTGTTCCTATGGTAGCCGGCACCATTCCTGCTCTGTATTTCACACAAATGGATAATCCTCAGTCACATATCCAAGGAGTCTACTTCCTTCAGCCTGAAATGCTGTAATATTTTTCAAATCAACCTTATTATACAAATATATCCATGCTATAATCTCTTGTGTTAGTTTGTAAGGGTCTCTAATAGCTTGCTACCAAATGAGTCTACTTATAGCAATATTTATGTACTGGGCTAAAAGCAATATACACTGAGAGGAAAGCTACAATGACACACACAAAACTGCACACATACACAAGTGGGACCAACCCATAAGTGAGGCCCTTGAGGAATTATGGAATTGGACCCATAGTTGACAAGTAAGACTTTAATAACTATGTATTAGCTTACACAAATGGCAATATTATAAATATTCTCTCATGAGAGAAATTTAACTGTTTTCTATGAACAGTTAGAGTCATCCTTACAAAGTCTTTAACGTATTTCCATGTAGCTGTATAAAATTCAGTATCACTCACATGATGTCTCTGCTCTGGTCTTCTATCCCTCACAATTTTTCATATCATTAATCACCCTCTAATTATTCATAAGTATCTGTTTCTTCATCTGACTGAATTTTTTTTGTGTGTGAGATAGGGTCTGGTTATGTAGTTCAGACTGATCTTGAGCTCATTATGTGGGTCAGGCTGATCTCAAAATCACAGCGATCCTCCTGCCTCAGCATTCCAAGTACTAGGTTCACAGGTGGGTGCTACTCTACTTGGCTGGAACTTATCTTTTACACAAACACCATTGTTGTTTCTTGAGACAGGATCTCACTATGCAGTTCAGACTGGCCTTGAACTCACTTTGTAGCCCAGGCTGGCCTCAAACTTGAAGCAATCCTCCTGTCTCAGCCTCTGAGTGCTGGGATTACAGGGGTGTGCCACCACATCTGGCTCAACACTATTATTGAGTCAACTTTATTTCGTCAATAAATTAATTTACTTATCCAGTCCTCTACTGAGAGATATTTAGCTTATTTCTGCTAGATCTTTCATGAATGCATCAGTGAATAAAGGAGTAATCAATATGGAGCAAGGATGTTTTAGCTCTTTTTCTATATTATAACCTTAGAGAAATCACAGGGACACTGTGGCCTCAACTTGTCTGTAAAATATGATACAATTAAATTCTATTTATCCCATAACATTTTAAAAGATAAAATAACATTGTTGATAGTACCTTGCAAACTTAAATGCACAGTTCTCACTGTAACATAACATCACTTTTACTGTTAACCCATTCATGCCAAAGTTTGCAATCTTAAAATTTTGCATGAGAGTCATATATGTTACTTAGAAAAAATCAAGGAATTAGGGTATGAAGAAAGAAAAAAAAATATTATGTGCTGTTGTCATAGGTGTTCCAAAAATGGAACAGTAGGCGTTGAAAGGCTAACAGGGCTTGGTTCCTTACCAAACTTGACGCAGCTTGATTCCTGCTCACATATTCCTGGCCTGGGCTGGACTC